TTTGGTATACGTAACTTATTTTATAAAAGATTTCATCTTACTTGGATGTGCCTGTTCATCAGAGCTAAAAGAACTCCATAAATCTTGTTTCCAATTCAATAGTCCAAGTATTTTCTTTGTACCTATTGTGTGCCAGACACTGTTCTAGGTGCTTGGGATTGTGATGGTTAATTTTATATGAAAACTTGAATGGAACATGGGGTGCCCAGCTATTTGGTCATTGTCCTAGGTGTATCTTTGAGGTAGTTTTTGGATGAGATTAACATTTAAATTGTTGGACTGCATATAGTAGATTCGCTTTCCTTGTGTAGGTGGGCCTCATCCAGCCAGGTGCAGGCCTGAGTACAACAAAAATCCTCCCAAGTAAGAAAGAATTCTTTGCACCTGAATACCTCTGCACTGGAACACTGTCTCTACTAGGTCTCAAGCCTGCCAGCATTTGCATGGGAACTACCCCATCCGCTCTCCTAGTGCTCAGGCCTTTGAACAAGGACTGAAACTAAACCCTCAGCTTTCTTGGGTCTGCAGCTTGCTAACTCCCCCTGAAGATCTTGGGGCTTGTGTACCTCCATGGCCACATGATCCAATTTCTTATTCTCTCTCTCTCTCCTCTCTCTCTCTCTCTCTCTCTCTCACACACACACACACACACACACACACACAGTATTCTTTCTGAAGAACTCTAATATAGAGATGCACTGATGAACAAAACACATAGAAATCCCTGCCCTCGTAGAAAACAAATAATAAACAATAAGCAAAAAAATACCTAAATTATATAGTAAGTTCACAGGTGATGGATGCTATGAATAAAAATGGAGCCAGGTGTGGTGGCACATGTCCATAAACCCAGTTACCAGGGAGGATGAGACAAGAGGATTACAAGTTTGTGACTAATCTGGGCAACTTAATGAGACGATGTCTCAAAAAATAAAAAGGGCTGTGTATATAGCTCAGTGGTACAGAGCCCCTGGGTCCAATTCCTAGTGCCACAAAAGACAAATTTTTTTTTTAAATATGGGAATCAAGAGGGCAAGTTACAGTTTTCAAAAGTATTTTACAACTTTCACAAATTGTTTCCAACCAACCAAATTCTTATTTTTCCTTTTACTTTTTAACCATCAATAACAAGTTTTATTACTTTCACCCTGCAGACTCATTTATACACAATCATAAAAACTAGGTTTTCCTAGCAAAATAATTCCTGAAAATAGGTTATTTTTTATTTGGTACCGGGGATCAAACCCAGGGCACCTTTACCACTCAGCTATCTCCCAGCCCTTTCTGAGATGATAGGTCTCACTAAGGTGTCCAGGCAGGACTGCAATTGGCAATCCTCCGGCCTCAGCCTCTTGAGGAGCAGGGAATACAGCCATGTAGCACCACATCCTGCTAGGTTACCTTTAAATGGAGATCCACTGGTTTGTTTTGATATTCCCATAAAACTTCCTTCAATTTTCTTAAGTCATCAGTGGCTCATGCTATTGGCTTCATACAATCTTTTCCCTGCTAGTTTCATTTATTCTTTTACTTATAAGATTTATGTTCTAGTTGCCCACACCAAAATCCTGGCTTCTGTCTTTCCTATACTCCATACACTACTCTTCAGCAAATCTTGGCAGTTCTTCCTGCAGAACACATCAAGAATAAGAGCACTTCACCACCTCTACTGTGACTATGCTGGTCTGAGCCATGACCACATTTCCCAGCTTTCTCTACTTCTGCACCTGCCCCCTAAAGTCTTTTATCGATATTGAGTATTCATATTAAAACATTGTTCAGATTGTGTCACTCCTATTCTTCAAGTGTCCAAGTGGCTTCCCAAATCACTCCAAGCGAAAGCCAGTCTGTCTCCCAACCTTGCATTAAATCTCTCACCTCAGCTGTCACTTCTAGCCCTCTTGCTCACTCTGCTTTGGCCATGCCCTCGGGCTTGGTGTTCCACCTCAATGTTCCTCTTGGACTTGTGCCTTCTATATGCAATCCTTTCCCTCTAGCAGCTGTTCAGCTTGCTTCCTTATTTCCTGAGGTCTTTACTCCCACATCACATTCCGAGCCTTCTCTGGACACGTTATCTGGAACTGCAAACCTCCCTCACATATCATAGCTCTTTGCCTTTTTTCTCCTTAGCCCATATTAGCTAGCATGTCACATATTTTACGGATTCATTTTGTTTCCTTCCTACCTACTTCACTAAAATGTAAACTTAGTAAGAGCAGACAATGTTTTGTATGTTTTGTTCACTTCTCTTTCTCCAGCACTATAGAATCTGCTATTTACCCAAGGGAGCCACTGAAAAATCTGGACTCCTCAATTAAGAAGGTATCTGCAACAGGTCTCCTTCTGTCTGTGTCTATCAAACACCTCAGCAGCTTCTTCAGAAAGTGAGAATGCTGCTGCCTTGGTAAATCTTTCAGTTCATGTGTTGCAGGTCTTTTCCAACAGGGCACATCTGTACAGTAAGTGCACACATCCCAGATGGAGTGTCTTTCTGATCCTCCATTTTACAAAACTTCCTTACATCTATCAAGCTCTGGTTCCACCTGGAATTACTTGCAGTTTCTGTAATAAGAACTTTTCCTTTTCTGATTACCAAAACCCAGAAGAGTACTTCCCTCAGAAATGCAATCTATTTAGGTCATAACTGAAGCCTGCAAAACCTGAGTGTCCTCCCCTTTCAGTCTTTGTCATTCTCCAAGTAACTGCTGGTGGGGGCTAGGTGGCCCTGTCAATGTGCCCCCAAAGCACTTGGTGCTCCTCTCCTAATCCTGTGATTGCCCCTTTACCTGGCTTCCTCTCCAGCTAGGCTGTGAGCTCCAGGAAGGCACAGCAAGTGTGTCCTGCTCACAACTAAATCTCCAGCACAAAGAAGGGGATGGCACCTAGCAGGGCTGCAATAAATGTTTGCTGAGTAAGTAACAAGATTAGGTAAACTTGAGTGCCACATATTTCAAAAAAGAGAAGTGGATCATTAAAAAGAAAAAAAAATTTAAAGTATAATCAATTTGTGTATCTCACAGAACACAATTATTCTTTAAAAAGAAAACACAACAATGTCACAACATTGTTTAGCACTGGATTGTGTGATTTTGGGTGATTTTTAAAATTCTCCTATATTCCTTATTTACTAAGTCTGATAATGAATGTGTCTTATTTTATGGTTGGGGTAAATAATGCTATAAATTATAAAATAAAAAGAATCAGCCTTTTAAGGAAAACAGAGTATCATATGCAGTGAAACATGACCACTGGCTTTTTCCCCTCACTTTGCTAGAAGGTGACAATATCAAATTCCTGCTTTATTTAGCATCAATGCAAGTATATGGTGATAAAATAACCCAAGTTTCAAAAATTACTACATAGGACCTGAATGCCACTGATACTTTACAAATGGTATTTAAAATTCTGTAGAAACTGTTTAACAAAAATAATTTGGATTCCTGTTTGATGCATAAAACCAGAAGTATCAACTTTATTTTATATTTGAGAGCAAAGATGACAAAAATAAGAACGAATTTTTGTCTTTCTAAAATGAACTGTTAAGACTGGATAACTAGAACAGTCTTCTCCACTCTGGAAGTCGTGCATTCATCTCAACGAGAAAGCAGTGCTGGGGCAGAAAAGTAAAGTAGGGTTAAACAACTTGAAAGGAGGAGTATAAATATCACACTTTGTTATAAAAGGGAATGATTGCAACAAGATTCTCAAAGTCTATATATTCAATGTTGTGATTAATGTAAATTTTCAGTCTGCCAGCACACAATCTTAGGTAAGTGTGAGGAAGACAAAACAGTGTAGCAAATACCATTATAGAGATCATTTCTGCAACACAAAGACTTCATGCCCCAGGATGTGGCCCACAGAAGTCAAGTTTTGTTAGTTCAGTTACACTTCCATACAGGTGCACACACACACATGCACTACATTAAACCGACACAATATGAGGTAATATAGTATTAATAATATATATGCATAATTATTATAGTATATAGTTATATGTGATCGTAAGTAAATAATATATCACAAATAACCACATAAACATATATATTACCCTGTGAAAGGATTTCCTTTGTTTTTTCTGAGATAAGTCATTTTCCATTTTGCATACTGGCAAACTGAGAACCAAGAAAGTCAAAGGACTTGCCCCAGCTTGTGCTGTCAATAGTGCCATTAATTGAGACTAAATCTAGTCTACTGACACTAAGTTCAATGATCTCTTAGGAATTAACATCTTAAATTTGAGTAGCACATTATAATTTTCCAAGGATTTTCACATACAGTATATTGTTTACACTACACAAAAAAGTCTCAGACGATAGCACTAAAGAGTTGAAAGTTACTTTCCCTGTAAATACCAGTAGTTACTGATCTGGGCTTCTGACTCCTAGCCTGATACTTCAGTCCTACAGGTATCCCTCTTTTCTTAGCAATCATTTTATAATTATGTGACCCTTCACAATTATTTTGTGAGAAAGAGGCCCAGGCCAAGGCTAGGAGATCTGTAAACCTATGCAACTGAGGCCCAGTTGGTTCGTGGTGTAGGATTCTGGGATCCATCTCTAAACCCCTTCTAACAATGCACTGTACAGGTCTGGGAAGTAGGTAGCTGTGACTAACAGTTAAGAGCCAGGGAATCATTGCAGATCTGTCAGACTCCTGAAGCCATAGTCTTTCCCTTAGATATGTGGTGTGGCTAACTCACAATGAGGACTATGGCCAGGATACTTTATTCAAGGTGTGTGTCATGGAGCTGTATGCCAGAGCAGCCAGATTCCATTTCTTTGCTTAGTCTGAGGGCTGAACCATGCATACCAAATAATACAGCATCCAAACAATCTGGCACCGGTCCTGTTTACTTTCCTACCACCCAAATGTCCCTAAGTACACTGATCCTCTTGCAATTCAAACATCTGTGGTGGGAAAATGTGTCAGACAAACCAAGATGATGGCAGATATATAAAGTTAACAAGGATCAAGGATTATACACTATTGTTGACTACCTTCGGCTTCTTTTTCCTCTTCATCAACATCTTCCTCTTCCGTTGTTGTTAACACTTCAGTACTGTCCTCCAGTTTCTTTTTCTTCTTTAGATTCTTCAACATTCTGTCATTCCTCAAACGCAAAGGACTGATAAATTGGTTGTAATAAGGAAAATACAAGTGAAACTTTATTTCTCAACCGTGTCCAGATAAGTCTATACTTTCCTACCTGATTTTTTAACTCATTCTACTTAATAAATCTGAAAGAAAGCATTATACTCAGCTGGCTCAATCATAGTTATCATTGGAACTACCATTATTACCCTGTACACAGTCATTTTGTTCTTGATCCCCATAACAGAGATGCTGTCCTACTTCCCTCTGCTGACATCATTGTTACCATCAATACTCAGCTTAGGTACTTTCTTGCTTAAGAAGCCTTCCTTTCACTTCTAGTCCAGAGGGATTCCTCCTTCCTAAAGCTTTCAAATGAAATAGTGCTGGTTCACACCGCATTAGCATATGCAACTTGCAAAGCACTTTCACTAACTATTGTTATCAGTTGATATTCAATGCCATACTCTCTTGTGTTCCTGTGGCCGGTAAGTGGAGGAGCACTTGAGAGGCCACTGAATGTCAAGACTTTGCCTAGGTGCCTCACATATTTGCTTATTTAATCCTCACAATAACCCTAGAAGGTAGATAGTGTGTTTTTCCAAACGATTAAATTGGGGCTTAGAGAGGTAAGATAACTCACATAAGGTCACACATGAGGAGTAAATGAAGATGATAGGATTTGAACATTAGGTCTGTGTGACCCTAAAGTATAGGCTCTTCCCATTAAGACCAGACTATAGTACTTGCTAATAATGGACAGCAATAACAAACACAGCATAATGCCTGTTGCTTAGGCCTTTATGTACTTGACCTCATTTCACCTTCATGGTGACTTCATGAGACAGCTACTATTTTTACCATTCCAATATTTAGATGGAAAAACTGAGATGACAAGAGGGAAAGTAACTTTCCTGAGGTCACCCAATCATGCAGTAGTGGAGCTAGGATTTAAATTCAGACCTGCTTAAATTTAAAGAAAAATCTCTTCCTGACTATTCTAACCTGTCCCTGTCTTCTCTATGAGCTTGTAAATTCTTTTAGGCTAGAACCTTGTGATTTTTATACTTTTCAGAGGAAATGAAAATGTTAGTTGATTTTCATGATTAAATATTAGTTGACTGTTATTTGTAAGGCGTTCACTTTCTAAAATCTAACCACAACCAAGGAGGAAAAACTAGGAATGTTTATGGCAAAGGTAAAAGAGAAACTCAAGATGAAAGAGAGAGAGAAACATTTGCCTACAGTATTACGAAGAGGTGATAACAGATGAATAATATCCTATCTTCAGCTCAGTACCAGGTAGCACACAGAAGAGAATACCATGGCACTACAGTGCTACTCAGCAACACAGAACAACCAGGTTCTGAGCATGAGAGGCCCAGAGATAGATAACCCTGCCTTTGAAATGATGGCTTTGAAAGTAATACTCTCTTTTCTCTCCTAAAACTGCATTACTGGGTTGTCACTGAGCTCCACTAGGTAAGACAGATGTGGAGCAAAGAAACACTTTTTTCTCAATTAATCATAAAAAGTCTCCAGGCATAAATAAAATAGTGAGTAAAGGCCCCAAATATATTTTATATGATTTACCTATGGTCTCTTTATGTTCCCATGTTGTTAACTACAGTCTCAAAAATTAATAACTAAAACAACTACACAGTTCTCAGGCCCTCAGGACCAGGTATGTTTCAGAATACAAAATGTGGGGGATTTCAGAGAGGTCAAATGACATGATATACACTCCAATGGGATCTGGGGCAGCATCTCATAATCAAACAGTAATATTGCTGCAACAAAATATGTATATGTACTCTAAACACTAAATAGTCACTAGAAACAATCTCAGGTTAGGTCACATCACGTTTTCCTGCTTACATGACTTAGAATAATAATCTAAGTTTGCAGAACATAAATGTCAGAATGATAATAAGTTGAAGATTTATAGTTTTCTAATACTGTGACTCTAATATACCTTATTTTCCATAAGCAAAATGAACAGGTTTTCTTGATCTGAAGTTTTTATTTTAAAATTAGTAGTGTACATTTCACCTTAATTAACAAAGAAAAATGCAACATAGCCTTATTACTTCAAAATCCACTGCACTAATCTGTCTAAGTTTTAGAGGACTTGGTTTTAGATTCAGTTTTATCACTAAGTGGTCAATTTGGCTAACATTTCTTTCAGAGGCCCAAAATTAGATACTGTACTCAATTTCTCACTAGAATGTCCAAAGGAGGAAAGCAGGGTGAAATGACTTCTTCAGTGTCCGACAGGTGACTTTCTTATATAAAATGTCATAGAACATGACTGCTGTGGCTTGTGCTTAGATGTCTCCCTAAAGCCTCAGGCGGTCATATGTAGGGCTTTTTCAGAGGTGGCGGGATCTAGAGTGTGTGAAAAATTGATTCATGGTGCAATGCTAGGCTCAAGGGCACTAGGATTAAGGGTGTGAGTGCTGCCCACCCTAAGTAGTCAAAAAGGGGCAGAAAGATACTGTGAAGGTCCCTTCCTTGTTGCTTTTGCTGTCTCGGCCTGCCACTCTACCTTGGAGCCAGCCAACTATAGACTCAAACCTCTACCAACTATAAGCCAAATAAACGTTTTCCTCCTTTATTTTTGGGTATCGGGTATTTTGTCTCAGCAACAAGAGAAAAGTAACCAAGATAACTGACCAACATATTGTACAGTCAACTTGTAATGCACATTCATTCAACACATTTTCTCATTTATGAAATACACTATTCTATATATTAGAAATATGAACATAATAAATAAGACATAAGGACCTGTCTCAAAGAATATAAATTTTGGAAAGGAAGGCAGATATACAGGCTGATAATTAATTATATCACATTGAGAAAAGTCCAAGGAGAAGTAAGCAGAGAATGGTACGAGACAGAAAGAAGTTTGCCACTTTGTGACCAGGAGGCTTGAGATAAGCTCCCTAGAAAAGGTGACATATAAATTGAGGTTTGTGGCCTGGGTGGAGTACGCCAGGTAAAGAAGAATGGGGCGGGGGGGGAGGGCGGTGCATAAGAGCACTTCAATAAATGAATACACTGGGTGAAATGCTCAACATGGCAAGGTGGCACACTGTCTGCAAACATCAAGTACAGTAATGCAGCTGGGGACACGAAATGAGTCCACAAGGAATTTCTAGTGATACAGATCCACACAGTTGTGGGACTTCTATTTCCTCTGGGAATTCCCAGGAGCCTAGATTGAAGAGGAGAGAAGTGATGTTGATTGAAGTACTAGGCAACAGGATCCAGGCTGAATAAAAGAAAGAAGATGATATTAGGAAGGTGACAAATGAGGTAAAAACCATAGAGTTAAAGAGCCTGGATGTCTCAGCAAGTTAAAGAACAGGTGTATCAAGAGTAAAGTAAAAAGAAAAAGTACCTCTTGTCAAGGAGTAGGATTTTTAAATTTTAGATTTAAGAAGTTCAAAGGCTCAATTTTTGGGGAATGACAATTTTCAATATATGTGCATAAAATAGGGAAGATTAGTGTGTAATAGTTTCATGGAATTGAAAACACCAGGGAACTCTGGATAGAGGGGCTTACAGGGCTCATAAGATGGATATGAGGCTACCAAGGAATACGGTCAAATGAAGAAGAACACAATACCTAGAAAGTATCTGGACCAAAGCAAGATTTCATTAGATATTTTCAGGATGGATGAATGAATAAAGGGTTGAATTAGAGAGAGTCTAGTACAGTTTCAAATAGGCTATGATTCAGACGAATTTGAGAGCCTTAACAAACACAAATTTCAGAACCAAACCTCAAACTTAATCAGAATCTCTACATACAGACTGGGATCTGTGGTATGAAATATTGTGTTCGCAGGGTTACTTCCATAAAAGGCATCTACAGACCAAAGTTTGAGAAACACTGGTCTAGTGGGTTGATATTTTTGAGATGGAATCTCCCTAATGTTGCCCAAGTTAGCCTTCCACCCCTGGCTCAAGTGATCCTCTTGCCTTAGCCTCCCAAGTATCTGGGACTACAAGCATGTGATACCACACCTGGCTGGTGCACTGATGTTCTTCTATGCTTCTTAACAAACTCTATTTCATCAATATAAGTATTAGTCCTTTAAGGTGATTTAAAAAATAGCATCAATTTTATGGATAGGAAACAGTTTAATTTACCACTTGAAAAGTCACAAAGATATGCAGAAAATCCACAGAAACAACTAACTAGATGATTTACATCACTATTTATTGAGTTGCCTACTACATGATCTAGATCAAAAGGTTCTCCAGTTTTACTGTAAATAAGAAGCATCTGTTGGGCTTCTTATAACACAGGGTTGTGGGCTCCACAACAAAATTTCTGACTCAGTAGATCTGAGGTAGGGCCTAAGAACATGCATTTTTAAAGCTCCTAAGGGATGCCGATGATACTGGTTCAGAGACCCCAATGTGAGAACCACAGATCTAGACTCAGAGTAGACCTGGTCCTCATGGAAGTTAGAAGTTGGCCACAGAAAGAAAATAATGGAAAGCAAAGAATACTTACATGTTAAATTCTGTGAACCAGAACACAACTGCAGAAAGAAGTTCCAAGAAGAGAAAAAACACTGGGACCTGGAACAGTTGAAAAACATTTCATAGAAGAGTTAGGGCAGCTGCAATTTTTTAAGAAAAGAAAGAATTCACATGGGAAGAGGATGAATCAAAAAAACTGTAAGAAATGTGAGCAACATAGTCAAAAGAACAGAGGTAAGCATAAACCCTGGGGCTGTCAAGAAAAGCAAAGCTACCTCCTTGCCTGGAGCAAAAGATACGTGCATGAAAGGTTAGAAACAATATTATTCAATTTATAGAATGAGCCCAATATAGATGAGTCTAAAGGCCACAGTCCTTTGAGGGGACCTAAAGTGACAAGATGTCATCATGTTTGTAATCTACACTTGCTTCTTTTATCCTACCAACATTAAAAAAAAAAGCAAAAAAAAATTCAGAAAATGGCTTGACATCTTTGCTCTATCACTGTTAATCTTTTTTAAAAAAATTAACATT